TCTCTCTCTCTATGTATATATATATATATATATGTATGTATTCATTGTTATACACTAAAGCAATAGTTTAACCAAAATAATTGAGTGTATGTCAATATGTTTAACCAAAATCATTACTCGCCTAGGTATTATGCAATAAACTTTATCAAATTTTACTTTTCAAAGATATGCTCACGTAGATAAACTTTGTTTGCCTTGTCTTTGCTAAAAACTCTATCCATACAAAATTGTATTGCCTTTCTTACTAAAATAACCTAAAATAATATATCAAAGTCTTACATTTTTTTTATAATATACACATTTTTTGCTAGATTATTATTTTTTATAATAGTTAATACAATTCATTTTATTTCTTTCCCTTCTTAATTATAACTAAATCTCTAAAAACTTATAACACGCCACTTGCAACATAAAATATCTTGAGAACTGAGAAAGTCATTATGTTTCTTTTAGGATATAGCCCATACTTGACTTTAATAAGAATTTTAATCATTTTTTATCACTGTTGATTATAATATTTCTAATCCTAGTAACTTTATAAATGATATCATTTCTTCTAATAACCTTATCATCACAAACTTCCCACTATGAATCAAGCCAGCGTCTAGTGGAAGTAAAATGAGATAAACATCTCAAGTCTATTATCTAATCTTCACTATAAAAATTAGTTGTTGCTATTAAAATCTAAAAAATACACATATCTATCTAATGCAAGTTAAACACTCTCAAGTTCTCATACTTATCTCTTATCCTTTTACTTCAATTAAAGATAACTTACTTATAGTGCCATTTTTTATGATAAAGAAACTATTTAAAATTGGTATTAAATTTAAAGCTCAACTTGAAACTGAAATTTTATGTGCTTTCTTTTCATCTTCTACCCACTTCTGTCAGTGCTATTTATTAGTTACTTGGATGTAAGCGATCTAAACATGTTCTAATGATTCTCTCCCAAGCATATTCCACAATCTAAATAAAAATATAATTATGATTTAAGCATCGAATATAGATCCATGAGTAACTTTGTCATTTACCTTGATTTCAAAATTCTTTAGATCCATGATGGCCTTATGAAAATCATTTATATAAATCTCAAGATTTATTTTATGCATAAATCTTAAATCCAAATAATTTACCTTAATTTGTTGTAAATTCTATTTTTTATGTATTAGTAACGTGCATTATGCTAATTTCAACCAAATCTTAATAAACATTTATTGCATTATCCACTTACGGAGTACATCATTGCTCAAATGCAACTCAAGTGTGCTATATGCTAACTCCATTTTTCTTTCTCACTCACATCTAACCTCTCAATATTAACCTTACAAACACCCATTCTTTCAAATCATCAAACCTTTCTCAAATACCAATTTATAATTCTAAACACAAATTTAGGATTTATCCATAAAACCTAAAGTAGTAATGACTATTCAAATTGATTTTGTAATGTAGTAAGTCCTAACATATCGACAAATAGATTATAAACTTGGCAATGAGTTTTCCTACAAAATTAGAACAAGATTTGAAACTTTTAACCTTGCATCAAAGAATCAAAAGAAAACAATGTTTTAAACCTACCCAATTTGTCCACCTTCCAACAAATCAATTATTGGAAACTAATCTTAATCAAAATCATATTATTCAAAATAGTGAACTAATTAAAAATTAGTATTATTATTTATGATTTTTCTTCCTAATAATATATGTATCTATCCCTAAGAAGATCTCGTGAGCAACTGCAACTTAAGAAATTTATAAACTTAGTAAGTATCAACAAAAAAGTACAAAAATCATTAGGTCATGCATGCATATATATTCTCATTCTACTTATTTCATGCTTATTCATTTCCTCATTTGTCTGAAATATTTTAACAGATCGATCGCAGTAAGACTGAAATATTAACTAAAAAGTCTAATTGCAATCGAAGCAAGAAATTAAAACCGGTATTATTCACACAATAATCTATAACTACTGCTGAATCTGAGGTTCAGCTCAACTCCAAGCTGCAATCAGCACCTGGACCAAATAAAACCTCCCCTGGCCAGAAACATATTGGCGAGCATGGCTAGCTAGCAATGATGCAGACAAGTTAAGGGTGGGGATCGACCTACTTGGCCAATAGTAAATAGGTCATGCATGCATATATGTATGTATGGTCACAATCAATCAAGTGAAGACAGCTCATTGAAGATTTGATATGCTCCCCATCACAAGCCATTTAAGACTCCTAGTGCTACATTGAAATGAAGCTTCTTTCTGGGTCCCTTCGCACGCACCTACTTTGATTCATAGAGCTCACCTACAGGGAACGAAGATGAGTCGAGAATGATAAGATGGCTGATAGGATTCTGAATCGAACTCGCTGGAAAATCAAAGTGTAAAATGTAGAAATATTTAAGCACATATGATGAGGACAAAATTCCTAAATTTGACACATTTAAAATTTATTTAGGATTTCGGCCTTCTTTTAAAAAAAAATTAATTCATATTTTTTTTGTGCCTGTATATACGTGCAATGCTCGTAATATATATTTCTTCACTTAAAACGACAATGCCGGATGTAACTTTTTTTTAATATTTTATATTAAAATGATTTGTTTAGATTTTTTTCAGTATTTTATACGTTTTATTATGTGTTTAATCTGTTAATTTTGACTCTTTATTGACAACTTAAATTTAAAAAAAAAAAATTATAAATTACTCTTTCGAATAAATTCATTTATATATTTACTTTTTAAAAAAAAATATTTTTTTTTTCATTATTTATGTTCTAAAAATTTTAATTTAGAATTTTTTGAGAAATTATTTTAGAAATTGATGCTCCAGCATCATATGTCCAAAAAGGAATTGCTCCAAAATATGCTGGAGGCGAGAAATGACATCATGAAGATAAACTCAGATAAATCCGAGTGGATGAAACTGTGTACGTCGAACCGGACGACCCGGGGTCATCTTGGGTTGTTCTTTAAGGATCTAAACTAGAGGCTTGTTGTACATCAGCATAGACCTCTCGATTATTCCAAATCTTGATATATCGATGTTAGTGGTATTCAGTCCAATCAATGCACCCTTCTCCGGCCTATCTACTCTCTAAGAACATGCCTCCATCGGTTGAATACTAACACTGCGATTTGTTTGAGCTTTTACAATCAGATTTTTATGAAAATGTTGCACGTGCATTTTAAAAATTTTATCCGAAACTCCATTTTTAATTACCGAAACGCGAACACGATTTCTCCCCCGTGTTCCGCCGTTCACGAATTAAAAAAAAATTGTGCCGTTCTTCTTTCACCGTTGTGCCCTCGCCCGAGCCTTTCTCTCGCAGGCCCTAGGTTGTCTAGTCTTCTCCTGCTCTCACACCATATCTGCCAATCTCGACCCTCCCTTCTCTGCTCGTCTGATAATCTCTCCGGCACTCCTAGTCTCTTGCCAATATCTTCACTTCTTCTACTACTAATTTGTTCGCACTGGATTTGAAACTCAATTATCCTTTATTTTGAATTTATTCCATGAGATTTTCAAAGTGCAAAACTTTATACTACGTTTTATAGTTGATTCATGAAAATGTGGTGAAGAAATCACCTCTAGAAATTATTAGGTCTAACGATGGAACAATTATTTCATAGGGGACACCGTGTGCGCAGGATTGCATACGGTGTTCGATCTCTGCCTTTCATCAAAAATAATTTTTTATTTAAAAAAAATTTTAAAAAAAGGTCAACTGTTATACTCCTTTGCTATGATGAACGGTAAAGATCGACGTCCGAATATAATAATTCTTCCTGGAGCGCGCAAATAAAAATAAAGAAAAACAAAATCCCTCTTGTAATGGCAGCGGTTGAAGTACGTACTTAATAATTCTCCCTACCCCTCAAAAAATTATTATGTCTGAGAAATCACCTACCTTCCCCCCCCCTCTTGAAAACGAACAAAATTTTAAATAGAGGGTAAAGGGGTTTCATGCAATAATAAATAATCAATCTCTTCTACTGTTTTCTTAACAAGATTTTGCTTTCCTGTGGATGTAAAGATTCTATGGGCAGATTTTGATGTGGATTGGATAGTACAGTGTTTAATGTGTTGGGTTCGGTTGGCGCTGCACAACTTCATAATTAACTTCGATTTTCAATAATATTTTGACTAAATTTAATTGTAAATTATTAGATATGTATAAATTTTATTCAATACATGTCCTTATCACATTTTTGCAGAGGTAGTTGCATCCCATATCTCTATACTGGAGAGAGAATATTATGCCTGTAATTTGTACATACGAATTATGAGAGCACCCCTACTGTTAAATATTGATTTGTTTGAGAATCATACCCAATGAATAGAATATAAATAAGGAGAGAGAGAGAGAGAGAGAGAGAGTGATAGACAGAGAGGGGGATGAGTGATTAATAAAACATTGTGCCAATCATGGCTTATTTATAAAATGAACTCCTCATTTATAGCGGAGAATACAATATCATGATGTTACATTTTTGCCTATATTTTAAATGAGGCTAAAGAAGGTACTCTTGCTATTTTACATGTATGAGTTTATCACTCAGTTGTTCTCTTGATCTACCAACTAAATTGATTTGTCTTGATCAACTGAGATTAGCTCGGCTGACTGTGTTTGGTCTGTTTGAGTCAGTTGGCTGATATGGTTTGATTATCTATTCTTGACCTCCGGATGTCTCTGGGGAGGCTAGAGATACTAAGTAACTGGATCTCCCCTGGATCAGCTCATTGTTATATCCTCCACCTAACTTTGGATTGTCTCGTAATTCTGCTTGCTTTGGCTACGATAGCTACACTTGGTCGGAAAAGTGGACATCAGAATCATCTATTTGGAAGGCCTTCCTTCATCATACTATGTTCTTCTTCACCATTAGAAAAGCATTCACATATTTCCCTTCAAGTACATACCCCCGAGTACCCTCATTCACATTTATTGATTTCATCTATAGATATTAGTTTTTTTCTAACATACTATATCAACCTGTATCGATGTGCCGTAGAATATTAGGTTATGATTACTAATTGAAGGGAATAAAATTATTTTTTTCATGAAAGTTTTATCCCACCATAAATTTTAAATAACTAAAACTGATTACTCATTAAAAAATAGACAAGCATTGTTTTAATTATTTAAATCTTCACAATTTTAAATTAATGATGATTGCTAAGAAAATATGTGCGTGTACCCAATTATAGCTTGATAAAATAGATGATCGCATTTGAAACTTGTGGATAAGAGTTCAATCATTAAAGTATTTGTTATGGTATGGCTCATATACCATATAGGGACAGACGCTGGAACGAAGCGGAACAAAGCGGAGCGAAGCGGAAGTTTCTGTCCAAATCAGGAAGTTACGTTATGTGGGTTGGGGGTGCTGGGTCAACGCCCCGCTATACGGTACAGGGGTAATTAGGTAATTACATATTGTACTGTAAGGTTTACTCTAGGATTATAAATAGACATGTTTGTAATTCTAGGTCTTCGAGAGAGTTGGATCCTCTATTCTGTAACCTCTTTTCTGAATATTGAAAGGAATACGCCGCTCTGCTCCCGAGGATGTAGACATCTTTGTCGAACCTCGTTAAATCTCTGTGTTCTTCTGGATTTGTGTCGATTACTATTTTTTTCGCCCTTATTTTCTCAACAGAAAGCTAAAAAAATATGCCTCTCGGCTTTTAAACTATTAGTTGAGAAGTCCAAGAATTTGAAGATATGTATTTATATGTGCTGATATAAATTCATAAAATGTATTTTTATGTGTGTGTGTGTGTGTGTGTGTGGAGGGAGGGAGGGACGGAGGGAGAGAGAAATCAAAATAATCCCTTTATTTTTTATATTTAAGTAGGGGCTCATTTTAGTCCCAAATTTAAAAAAAGTTGTTAATTTAGTCCCAAATTCTTTTAACGAGTAAAATTTTAAAATAGTCTTCGACAATTTACATCTCATGGTTTATAAAAAAATCCAAAATAGTCTCCAATTACTTTAAAATTGAACTATAATAATCATCTTATGGGAATGTTTAATTCAGCTAAATTTAAAGGAATCTAGAGATTATTATTGTAGTACTCTTTTAATATTGATTGACATAGTCCTCAAGAGAACAATTGAAGCACTAATTTAAAATGTATTTATATATATAATGCATGGCTGCTATTAATTTAGGGTTTAGGGTATGGACCAGCAAGATCTGAATGATCATAGCATCCCCTCAAAATCTCCAAAGCAATAGCATTGCATACTTCTATGGTCCAAGGAACATCGTATTCAGCTTCTAAGGGTTCAAATAACTTTAAGCTCCACCAAGAAAATAATGCAATGTACTCATTAATTATTTGGTGGTCAAGTGGCTCGTCTGTACATCTCTGCTCTGATTTTTGAGCTCCACCTATCCTTAATTCTCACTATGTCGCTTTCTTATTGAAACAAATTAAATCCATTGTGTAATCTACTTCAGCTATCGTATCGAGAGGTTGTTCCCTCAATTATTGTCTCTTCACATAATCTCTAACTGGTTTATACCCCCTTTACAGAAAATATGGCATTTTTAAAATTTGTCCCAAAAAAATAATTATCTACGAGCTGAAGGGAAGAAGATGAAACATTTATTTGAAAATTTAAGGAAATAGAAGGGCTTGCTTGAAAATCTTTTACTAATATATAATAAGTTGTGTTGTGAAATTAGCGGAATAAAAACAGGAATCGACACAAAACCAGAAGAACACAGAGATTTAACGAGGTTCGACAAAGAATTGCCTACGTCCTCGGGAGCGAGCGGTGGTTTCACTATCTCAGAGAAGTTACAATTTACATCTCATAGGATCACACATATATATAGACATATACATACCCTCAGATAAAATTACAATCACGCCCTCGCTCCCCCCAACCCTCTTTATTCCAAGAGACACTCCTTTTCACCAGGAGACACACCTCTTCACCAAGAAACTCCAACTCCCTAGATATGAGTCATACCTAACAAGTTGCATGCAAGAACAATTTTCTGGCCCCATGCATGATCATGTTATGGTATTTGTCTGAGCATATATCAAATCGTTGGTTTATTGAATCCAATGTACTACTAGTTTTATTGGAGTTTCTGATTCCTCCGATTGATCTGCTCCTTGATGCAAAAAAGAAAATCAAACAAGCTTAGAATGAAAAGGAATTTAGACTCCTAAAAAAATTCATGCCATTTAGGATTAGAGGAAGCATCGATCATATGATTCATTAAAATTTGATGACACGGATTAAGATGGAGATTATATTTATGGCTTATAAAGCTAATATAGCATGTGTGGAGATTATGAAAATTTTAAGTTTGGATGCACATTTTTGTCAAGTTTTTCACTCATAGTTCCGAGAACATTACTTTAATTATTAGTTTGTAGTTTTGGTGTGTCAATAATGACTCTTAAATTATGGCACATTAGTTTTATTTTTTATTAAATAATTCTCCATTTTCTTTTTCAAAAAATAATATAATGCACATGCATAAAAATATTGTAATGAAATATTTAAATATTTTAAATCTTAATTCGGTTGAATATCTATCACGTAAATAAAAAAGTCTGAAGAATTAGTTGTACACAACGTGTATTATTTTGCGAGAAACATTTTAAAAAAAAAAAAAAAAAACATGATGCATAGGCTAACTAGTTGAAAATAATTGAACTAATATAAATTATTGATCATGAATACATGTCCTTCTCTTGATTAAGGAAAATATAAATGAATGGGTTCATAATCGGTGATGTGTAGCGGTCATCAAAACTGAGAGGGCAGCGAACATTCCTGTTTGTCATCGATGATATATAGTTAGACAGTGGTTAATAATAAATGTTGACATGAGTTTATGCATGGCAGGAATAATACATTTTGCATGTAATCATGCATGATATGTGTTAGTGTTTGTTAATAATGGGTATCAAACAATGGGCAATGATGATTGTTAATCATCATGCAAGAGGATAATCGTTGCAAACCTTCGATCTATTTCTACAATGAAAGAGAAGTTGAACGAGCATAACTTGGTAATGTTCAATTTAATGTTCTATATAAAGAACATATCTCTAAATTTCTCTCACTATTTTAGGATTTCTTTTCAACCGGATTCGCCACAATACATAGAAATATTACATATCTATAATTTTGAGGAGAGACATTTTATCCATTTGTAACAAAATATTTTAAACTATCACCCTAATGGGGAGTTTGGTAACATAATATTTACCGTATTTAGTCATGGATTCAACTTAAATCCAGTCAAATATTAAAAAAAAAAAAAAAAAAAATCCAACATTTCGTCAAATCAATATTTTTCTACTTTCGTTGCAATTTCTTATGTTTCACTTTCTTTACAACGTAAATCTGAATGTAATAAATCCAACTACAAGGCAAATTTGCGGGATTTGTTCGGCCGAGCTCGATCTTCCTTTACATTGAGTGATAAATCTTATTTCAACGTAAAAACAAGTTAAAACAACACAAAATGTTCCATCCTATTTCTTAAAAATTGTTATACAATTTTTTTTGATGGGACTAAGGGTAGCATCGGTGGCTAAATGATGATCAATGATTGTTGTTCGATCGTGACTAACAACATGGTGAAATCTATGATCAACCAATCGAGGGGACCCCTCATCAAAGCTCTCAATAACACCAGTGCCACAGAGTTAAAAGATTAAAAGAAAAATTATAGACCACGCCAACCTCAGTTACAATAATTCCAAGGATTTTCTCACCGAATGGTTGACTTCTTCTAGCATTTAATTTTTTCAAAATTTAATTCTCTTTAATTTTTCAATATATTTATATACTTTAGACGGTGTTTGGATGTATATTAGATTGATATTAATAAATCTGTTTGGGGCACCTATAGCTTATTGAATAATCTGCTCTTAAGCTGATTGAAAATAATCTGTCGATAAGCTAAGTGCGGTGGCTATTACAAATTTTAATTTTTTTGGAAAAGTCAGACCATTGCCAATAAACTCCCACCACGCCAAGATAGGTGCGGTGTGAAAAATGCTATTTTTTGCGTTTTGAAAACGCATAAGTTGCCAAAATGCAGTTTACCCAAACAGATTAGGTGCGTTTTCAAAACGCCACCACACCAAATAAGCTGTCCCAAACAGGCCCTTATCAATTTTCATAAATCCAGATTCATCAAATTGAGTCGAGTACGTCTCGCAATCAAATTTATGAAATTCAAATTTACGTCACAAAAGTGATAAAAACACGAGAAAAATCAGATGAAATGTGAATTTATCAGAATATTGGATTTATTGTCATTATTTTTTATGTTTAGTTAAATTTAAGTTAAATCAAAAATTAAATCCAATAAATAATAAAGTACAAAGCACCGCTCTTGCAACACTAAGAACAACTCATAATCTGCTTCAGCGCATGAGAACGAGTTCCCCTACTCTTCTCTATAAATAACCCGAGTCAATCCACGACCCATCTTCCATAGCAGCAATGTCTTCTCCTTCCTCGGCCTCCACTTCACTTTCCCCGTCGACCGTCATTCAATTCCTCACCTCCCCCATTCCCTCCATAACTCTCTTCACCTTCTTTCTCCTCACCTTCGCACGCTACATTATCATCAGAAATCTCCCACAAACAAATCCCCTCCCTCCCGGCCCTCGCCGCCTTCCTCTCCTGGGCAATCTCTCCCTCCTCCTCCTCCCCAACCTCCACCACCGCCTAGCCCGCCTCTCTCTCACCTACGGCCCCATCATGCACCTCCGCGTCGGCACCAAACTCTGGATCGTCATCAGCTCGCCAAAAATCGCCAAACAAATCTTCACAGAAAACGACGTCGATTTCTCTGACCACGAACAACCCATCGCCGCTGCGGTCATCTCCTACGGCGGCGCAAACCTGGTACGCTGCCCTTACGGCCCCACCTGGCGCATGCTTCGCCGAGTGTTCGTGCACGAGCTCGTCAACGCGAAAAGCATGGCCGATGCCGCCATGGAGCTCCGGCGGAGTGCGATGAAGCGTGCGGTGCGAGGGATTTGGGCGAGAGGCAGGGGAGGAGTGGCCATTAATGTTGGTGAGTTAGCCTTCGAGGTTTCGCTTAATATGCTCATGAGTATGTTATGCGGGGATGTGAAGAGTGTTGGGTGGAGGGATGGGGGGAAGGAATTTAGGAGGGTGATGAAGGAGACGGTGGAGCTGCTTGGGAGGCAGAATGTGTCGGATTATTTTCCAGTTATTTCGGGGTTTGATTTGCAGGGGATTAAGAGGGAGATGATGAAGAGGGTGGCGTGGCTGGATAGGGTTTATGAGGATATGATTGAGGAGAGGATGAAGCTGAGAGAATGTAGAGTTGGTGAAGATGGAGGAGGAGGGAGTGGGGAGGAGAAGAAGGATTTGTTGTGGAAGCTTTTGAAGATTAGAGACGGGGAGGAGCCCAGGGTTAGGCTGTCCCATATACAGCTCAAGGCTTTGATAATGGTAATTATGGTAATTTATATATAGTTTTCAAAAACTAAAAAATATCATGCATTATTTTATTTTATTATTATTATTATTATTATTTTGAGTAGCATGATATTTAGATCAAGCTTTAGAAGTAGTTTTTGTTTTCTTTTGCAGTATCATCTCTAATCAATGCAATGATTTTGTCAACACAAATTATTTGTATTAATGACACATTTTTATGCTAATCAAAATTTTTGTTGGATCTCAACAGATTATCAATGGATTCTTTCACATTGAGCTTATGCTTTCAAAAGACATGTCATAAATATCACGTGTCATATAACATAATTAATGTCATATGTCATAAAAATAAAAAAATAAAAAATAAAAGTAAAAAAAGATCATTCCGGCACTAATATTTTCAAATTCATACATCCATTAATTCTTAATTTCAGAATTGAACTATGTATCACAGGATTTCAAAATCAATAAAAATTTAAAATAATAAAATATGCTTCAATCTAATCCTTCAAAATATAACAACTGAGTTGTGCAGGTCAACTTGATTTTGAGTTCAAGTCCTTAAGGTCTTGTTTATTATGTGTGTGTGTATTTGGGTGTGTACGTATAAATATATAATTAATAATGAATGGTAATTGAAGCCTACTAAAATAATACTCATTTACACATATACCACACAGTTCTTATATATATATATATAATATATATATATATTATCTAAACATGTATATTTGCATACATAAAACTCAAATCTTTAACATCACATGACTTTTTAAGAGTTTATGACACCAAGATTTTAAAAGTGTAAATATCAAAGTTTGGGCGTTAGACATTTAAATACATAAGAATTGCGTGGGATGTATATAAATTTCCCTAAAAACATGAATTTTGGAGGCTTTATACTTTTCCCATTCAGCTCACCGGAGGCACCACTCCATCCTAAACATGTAGGATTTCCTAGTCGGCGGAACAACCGGAACCTGGACTACCATCGAATGGCTAATGGCGGAGCTGATGCATCGACCCGAAACATATCACCGCGCCCTCAACGAGCTCGACACGGTGGTGGGCCGCCGTCGAACGGTCGAAGAATCTGACATCCCCCATCTCCCATACCTACGCTCCCTCATAAAAGAAACCCTCCGCCGTCATTCCGTAATTCCCCTGCTCGTTCCTCGCGTCCCCAGCCGTCCCATCACCGTTGCCGGTTACCTCATCCCCGCCGGCGCACGCGTCGTCACCAACGTCTGGGCCATTCAAAACGATCCTCAGGTATGGCATGAACCGCATGAGTTTAGACCCGAGCGATTCTTGGATGGAGGGGAAGGGGAAGGTGTTGCGGGTGGATTCGGGTTCTTTCCATTCGGGGCCGGGAGGCGGAAGTGTGCGGGATTGCCGCTTGCGGAGAGGATGCTGCCGTTTGTGGCGGCGAGTTTATTGCATTTGTTTGAGTGGAGGATGGGGGAGGGGGTGGATATGAAGGGGAGAACCGGCGTTACTTTAACTAAGGAAAAGCCGCTTGTAGCGCTTGCGGTGGCTAGGTTTCCGGCGTGCAAGGAGATGTATGAATGAAGATTGAAGGCAGCTGCGCCTATTGTAATAATTGGATATTTGGTTGGGGCAAGTTGTCATCTTTAACTGTAATCTATAATTAAAAGCCTCTCCATTGCTCAACATTTGGGATTTCAAATAATGTTTTTGAGCTCAGGTAAATTTCACTTCAATAAAATTGTATAGTTGTGGAAGATCTCCAAACCAATCTTCACTTCACGCCTAGTTTCAAAAAATAATGTATGGGCTAAAATATGTGTGATGAAAGGCTTCCAAACTGCAAACCCATATACAGTTAATTGAAACATAAGCCTCATCAACAATCTCCATAGGAACAGTAGTAGTGAAAAGGGATTTCCAAGCAAATCTTCAGTTCATCAAAAGAAGTTCTAAGCAAAATAGCAACAAGAAAGATCTCCAACTCCAGGAGAAAGGCTAGAAAAGAACAAACTAGACACAACCAAAACTAAAAGGAATATATGGATCCATAGACAAAATAAATGCGAGGATTTAAGAAGACTGAGCTTAGAAAATAGTCCATAGAAAAAATACCACCATTGGGAAAAGAACTTCTAATGAGAGCATGAGAAAAAGAATACTGAAAGAAAGATGATTATTGGATTCAATGTCATCGACGCAAAACACACAATTATTATTGACATTAACACTACTATTAATAAGAACAATATGAAGAATTTTCCATGAGTGCAAAGCTAATTTAATAGAATATTCTTTGTGCCAAATCAACCTATTCTAATGTCTAACAGATACATTTTCATGAATAAAACTATGCGCTTGCTTATTTGAAAAGTGTTCAATATTCCTCCAAAGACAATTCATCTTACCATCAATAATAGGAATACTATAGATGGAATTACTACAAGATATAGAAGCATCATTATTAAAGTGCAATACCATTTACCATTCATATTAACATATCTGAGCAAAATAATGTTTGGGTAGTAAAATCAACAAAAAATCAAGCTATTATACTTATCAAAGAGAGAAAAATCAGTTAACCAAATATCATAATAAAATAGAAGAATACTAACAAAAGTAATCTTAAAAAGTAAACATCTTCTAAGGTTAACAGCCAACATAGTAATATGTTTCCAAAAAGAAGAGATATGAGAAGTAGAATTAATCCTAAAAGAACCATAATTGTTAATGCTCCAATTGACTAAATAAGAGTTAGAGTTATAATGTCTCCAAATAATCTTAAATTTAAGCATAGTGTTAATGTTATCTAATGAAGGAATCCAAATACCACCTTTTAGGTTTATTAAGGGTAATATTATTCCAAGCAATAGTAATCATTTGCCTCTCACTACCATAATAAAAAGGAAATTTCTTAAACCTATCTAGACAAGATTTTCATTATAATACTCTTAGGTAAAACGGAAGAACCAAAAAAATAATATAAATAACTCCAAATCATAGTTTAAATAAGTTGAAATCTACTAATAGAAGAAATAATTTTTTTTTTTGTTTCTAACCAGCTAGCCATTTATTAAGCTTATCCAGAAGTTACTGGAAATCAACAATATTTAGCTTTGAAGCTCTAATAATTACCCTAAGATAAGTCCAAGGAAGAGGCATAAAATTGAAACCGCAAATTGCGCATAATTAATATTGCATAAATGGAGCAACAAACTTAAAAAAAATAAATAACTTAGAAAAATTAATGTCCAACTTAGAATCACAACTAAAAATATGAAGAATATCCATCAAATTATGAATAGAAATAATATTAGTCTTACAATAAGTCATCAACGTAAATGAGATGAGAGATATTACCATTAAGTTGAGTCATCAAAATATGATTTTGGCATTCTAAAAGAGAAGAAAAAGAATTCATAACACAATAGCAAAAAGATAAAGAGAAAGAGGTTTCTAGATGAGACCACTTGTAGAAGAAAACTAGACATTCATTTCACCATTAAGTATAACAGAGAAATGAACATTAGTCGTACAAGCTTTAATCTAATAAATAAAAATTAAAGGAAAACTCATTCTCTCTATTATATGATAAAGGAAAAAATTACAAACACTATTAACAGCCTTTTTTATATTAATTTTGGAAGAAAAGTTTTCCAAGGAATTAGTGGAATTAAAACCGAAAAGCATTTCATTAGTGAAAATAATATCACCAATAATATCATACCCTCTAACAAAAGTCGCTTAAATAGGATGAATGTCATTAGTAAGAATAATTTTATGCCTATCAGCAAGGAGTTGTACAATGATTTTATAAACAGTATTGCAAAAAGAGATGCCTAAAATTTTTAAGAGTTTAAGCATCAAAATTCTTAAAAATCATAGTAATGATATAATGCTTAATTCTATTAGGAAGTAAAGAAATTTTAAGGAAATAATTGATAGCTTTAATACAATCATCACCAACAATATGTCAAGTATCATTAAAGAATTTAGAGGAATAACCATTAGATCTAATAGATTTAGTACTCCCAATATCAAGAAAAATATTCTTGATATCTTTACTTGAAAAATCTTTCATTAAAGCTTCAAAACCTCATCTAATAATATGATTATGAACATGTGAAAAAATTAATAGCCTCATTAGCAATTTCATTTTGATCATGAAGATATATATATATATATATA